CCACAACTTCACAAGATTCTGTTAGCAGTCCCCTAAATTCATGAGTTCATATAAACATCTTGACTTGATCAAATAAATTAACTGGCTTGTAGAGTTTTACCTCAGAAATTAAATCTGTGTTATTTTTCATCGGCAGAAGAAAAAAATACTTGGTCTAGTAAGTAATCCTTTGCTATAGCTTGTAACATTGGGGTCTAACAACAATGATGGTCGCATCAAACTACAAAAGCAGAATATTAGGCAACTAAACTTTCTACCGATCATTTGGAAAGGACGGAATTGCTGAAAACATCTTCATTTTTACATTACATTAGCACCACAGAAGGAAACATTTAGTGCAATCTACTATTATTTCTTTCATATAAGAGTGGCAACATGCAAAAATACTAAGGTATACTACTAACCACTAACCTAAGACTATTAACAAAACTTCCATTTTTCCAGCACCCTATCATCCCTGTCTATATGTAAACCTCAACAACACTCACTATTATTAGGCTGTATAAGGTACTTATTAACTATACAAGTCATCGTCGTCTCCAGCAGCATTAGCAGAAGCGAATGGGTTGGTTGTTGCCCCAGTTGCTGTAGTATTAGCTGCGTGCTCTGCAAATTTGAACTCAGTTCCAAATCCGCGTGATTGCTGTAATGTTTGAGCAAAAACCTGGTACTTCCTAATGTCAGCATCACTCACACTTCTTCGAGCATATTTCATGGACTCCTCAAAGTGTGCAGGCTTAATTTCAGCCACTTCATCACTGTCATCTTCATCCATGGCTTCAGGGTTCTCACTCCTCTTTCTCTTTCTCTCAATATCCTGTCATTTCCCCAACCAAGGAGAAGTAAAATTTATCTATCTCGAAATTGAAAAAACAGGAAATGATGAGCAGCAATTTACACATTGAAAGTATACCATCACTAAAGATTCACCAGTATTTACGGGTATAAAAATAGAGGAATGTGATCTATGTTGCTCGAAGAGTCCGAAAAAGTCGTCGGGTGTGTGTCGGATTCTCCAAAAGCGGCGTATTTTTGGAGAATCTGACACGGGTTCGGCAGTATTTTCAAGAGTCGGCGCAACATAGAATGTGATATCAGATAAATGGGACCTTCTATCAGGAAAGTAAGATGTTGAAAACAACTATAGAAACTTCCAAGCATAACAAGTAGGAATTTTTCCATCCCCACGTCAGCTGAACTTTCAAAAATACCAGCAATAAGAAAAACAAACCAACGGGAATATGAAGATGAACCATCTGACTTCAATAAGGAACTCTAATATATGGATGTGAAAAAGGAACACCTTTTACCTTTTCAATGTTTTCTCTGATGGCGTATTTGCATGCTCGCTGACAAATCTCAGTTATGTCTGCACCACTAAAACCATGTGTATACCGTGAGAGAGCTGCCAGATCCACATCCTTAGAGACAGGGGACTTCCGCAAACATGCTTTGAAGATTTGAAGACGGGAAGCTTCATCAGGGAGGGGGATGTAAATTAATTGGTCTAGACGACCTGGTCTGAGCAGTGCAGGGTCAATAATGTCTGGCCTATTAGTTGCCCCAATGATGAATACTGTTTTCTTTGCCGTCATTCCATCCATTTCCGTCAACAATTGATTGAGTACTCTATCAGCAGCACCACCAGCATCTCCCACAGAATGCCCCCTCTGAAATACGGATGTATGCAACAACAGGAGTTAGTAAAATGTAACAGGAACCAATAGACAGCTCTATCAGGCTTCAGTTTATGAGGTTTATGGTACCTGCATAGCAATGGAATCAAGTTCATCAAAGAACAGTACACATGGAGCAGACTGCCGTGCCTTGTCAAATATTTCCCGAACATTTGCTTCACTTTCTCCAAACCACATTGTAAGCAACTCCGGTCCTTTCACACTAATAAAGTTAGCCTGACACTCGTTTGCAATAGCTTTTGCAAGCAAAGTTTTACCACAACCAGGAGGTCCATAGAAAAGAACCCCTTTAGAGGGTGACATGCCAAACTTCTCAAACTTCTCAGGATGCTCAACTGGGTACTGAACAGTCTGCCGCAAGCAAAGTGGATTTCCAAGTAAGACCAATAGGAGAAGCAAATGAAAGAATATAATTACCATCCTCCGCACAGAATAGAACCTTTTTTTTAACCCTGGAACTGAAACTATTAACCAAAACTCATGAAATGTAGCTCTTATCAATAGGAACAATTATAAAGTTGTTCCTTATTTTTCAAGTTTTCACAGATAATATACACATATTACAATGCAACAATGACACCACCTAAGAAGGCCTTAAAGCAATCAAAATTCATAATCACATACCTCTTGAAGTTCCCGCTTGACATTGTCCAGGCCCCCAATATCCTCCCAAGAGATGTTGGGAACCTCCACAACCTGACAACCAGGAGATCAAGTTACTATCTAGAAGTAGCAAAAGCAAACAGATATACTGAAAGACAAGGATCAGTTAACTACCACTTGAGGGAAGGCTTTAATTATTAATAGATGAACTCACTGTTTCACGTAATGCTGATGGATTTGAAGCACCCAGAGCAGTTTGAAAATGCTCATTAGTGACAGCCATTGAATTCAAAACTTCAGCATCGATAGTCTCATCCTCCAAGTCAATAACATCCATTTTCTCTCTGATACATTGCAGCGCAGCCTCAGTGCACAAGGCAGCAAGATCAGCTCCAACATAACCATGCGTATCTCTTGCAACTCTTTCTAGATCAACCTGTGATGGCATCAAAAAGTGTTTTGATGAAACTGCTCATTATTGGAAAGCTAAGTAAACGTAGCAAGAAACAAGAACAAGCAGAAGAGAAGCTCACATTATCAGCGAGCTTCATATTTTTGCTATGAATACGTAGGATCTCCAACCGCCCTACTTCATCTGGTACGCCAATGTCAATCTCTCGGTCAAATCTCCCAAATCTCCTGAGAGCAGGATCAATGCTGTTAGGTCTGTTGGTGGCCCCCATGACAATCACATGAGATCGAGACTTGAGCCCATCCATTAATGTCAGAAGTTGGGAAACAATACGCCGCTCAACTTCACCATGTGTCTTTTCTCGCTTTGGAGCAATTGAGTCTAGCTCATCAATAAATATGATGGATGGTGCATTCTTCTCGGCTTCCTCAAATGCCTTCCTCAAGTTACCCTCACTCTCACCAGCCAATTTAGACATTATTTCAGGTCCATTAATCAGAAAGAAAAATGCACCTGTCTCATTGGCCACAGCTCTTCCAATCAGGGTTTTCCCCGATCCCGGAGGACCATACAGGAGAATACCTTTTGGTGGTTTCACACCAATTGCCTTGAATAGCTGAGGATGCCTCAGAGGGAGTTCAACGAGCTCACGAATCTGAGCCATTTGCTTCCTCACACCCCCAACATCGTCATATCCAACTTCATTTAGTCTCTCCTCATCTTCACGCTTGACAGGTTCTCCCTCACAAAAGATCTCTGTATCAGGTGCAACAACACAATATTCTCCAGGCTCCGTCTCAACCACTTTAAATTCAACAATGCGCATACCACCTCTGACTACGAAGAGATCGCCCTTCCTGACAGGACGGTAAGACTCCAAGAAGTATGCTGGTGTGTCAAAAACGACAAATGCGAACAGATTTTAAGACAGTGTTAACTAATAACTGAAATAATATAGAGAATGAAAATGACAAGGGTATTGAGTGTAAAAGAGATTGTGGCCTTACGCTTCAAGTACGCATCAAACAGGTTGCCAGTGAGACCCTCAACTGTGTCATCAATTGGAAGAATGTGAACACGCTTCGCATACTTAACATCAGGACACTGCTGTACAGATACAACATCCCCAAGACGAATATTAAGATTAGCTCGAACTACTTTGTTCATTCTGATCTTAGGTTCTTCACATTGATCATCTGCAAGGACAATGCAAACAGTGTCCTTCCGTTTTTTACCCTACAATACAAGTTTCTCTTAGTTTTTTTACAGAGGTTGATGAAGAAGAAGAGGAATGATATACTAAACTTATCAGAGTGAAACAGAACAAATATATAAAGGAAACAAAACCTTTAGCAAGACGGTATCTCCTCGAAATAGTTGCAGCTCTTCCATTTTAGCAGGATGCATAGATACCACTGAATTGTCATCATTTAAGGCCTCATCAACAATAAGGCGGTTAGGGGATTTCTTCCTCTCCAAAATTGCAGTTGAAAAATCTTTTTTACTACTTGTCCTACATTTTCACGTTATAGAAGATTTGAAACAGTTAGAAAATAGAAGCTCATTAAATAAGAGAAACCTCAGAACCCACGAATTACTCCATTCATTGGCCACAAACACCAATGCACTGCCGTAGTTCTGGCATACAATTCAGGACAAAAAATGATCACAAATACTATATGAAATTGACATTAAAGAATAAGCAATATTGATTTCATGAAGTAAGAAAACTGGAAGCAAGGGCGAGGAATTCAAAATCAACAACAAATCCTGATTTTGCATAGACCAACTCAAATCTTCCATCCAATCTCTTGTTAATTTTGCCTAAAGAATGGGAGAGGGTAGTAGAAGACTAAAAATGGGGTGCTTACAATTTAAATGCCAACAAAATTTCAAACATGTGTATGTTTTTTTCTTCATGAAAAAATCATAGACAAACTTTATTCAAAATTCCCTTCCCAATTTATATGACACTTTTTGAGCAATTTAACTAATTTTTTAAGCTAAATTGAATTAAAGCAAACTCAATGCTTTGAAATCTAAAATTATACAAAAAAATAATACAAAACATATAAGTTACAATTTCTCATGTCAATATAATGAGAAAATATATTTTATAAAATTGATCAAAGTTCACATAATCTATAAATTTCGAGAGACGAAAAGTCTCACATAAATAAATTTGAACGGAGGGAGTATTTAAAACCACCTACTTCAGTTAAACCTTTTCAACTGCAATACTAGCACGATGAGCAAACAAAACATAAAATTTCACAAGTACAAATAAGTACAGTAAGACGTGCAACTACTTGGTATAAAATGGCAGGGAACTAAGAAAAATAAAACATACGGGTCGGAAGTGGAACAAGTTGGGTCCGCCATGTTCGTACGTGAGCTGCGAAGAGGAAGAATACTACTCTTACAATACAAAGCTCCAGAAATCGGTGGCCTGTATAGAATATAGAATATAGATAGATACAACTTACAAGTAGCAGAAGTAGAAGAAGGGACAAACTTTCCAATATGAGGAATACACCTCTAAATTCCAAAATATTGGATACTTGTCGTTTCAACACACACTTTACCTGTCCTCTGATTTCCCGCGCGGGGCCCGTTATTTTCTTTTTCTTCATTTGATTCCTAGGACAAGTCTATGTATTAGGAAATCTTTTTAATGGATATGTATTAAGGCCGTATGTTGTTGATAGGTTTTAGGCGGGAGGAGAAACCCGTAGCCGGTACAACCTCTGCTACAGTCTTTGTGCATTAGACAAGTCCTGTGCAATAGGCTCTATCCAAAAGGTATTGAGGGAGTATTCGATCCAAAACCATCCATATGTATTACCACCTTCCAAACCAACCGGACAACCCAAAAAGATTATGTTGTTGATAGTTGAGGGTTATATTACTACTTATTAGAAGAGGGAACACATGCACCTGTGTGTCACAATGCCTGCATGGCAAAAGGGTATTTTTGAAATTACAACTTTTTTCAGACTGCGTTCGTTATTTTCATTGGTCATATAGGGTGTTACTTTAGCTATTTTGCTTTTCTTTTACTGTACAGACATTTTAGCCCTAAATATGTGGACCCCATTTAAACTTTCATTCATATCTCATTCTGAATTTGCTTTTTATAGTGGACACGTAGTCTTTATCGGGCGGGTTAGGACGGATTGAACAAAAAAAACCAGCCCGTCCGTTATCGGACCGGGTTGGTTAGCGGGCTGGGATAACGGGATGGTAACGGGTTGGAAATTTTTGGGTTATTTTGGGCCGTTCGGGTTCGGGCGGGCCAGGCTAGTGTAATATATATTTTTTAATTAAATTTTATTTTTCTTATTCAATGTTATTGATACTTAAGTGTTTGCAAACTTTTAAGGCTTAGAATTAAACATTGAAGTTTAAACTTTAAAGTTTTAAATTTGAAATTTGAATTTTAAAATTATAAAATTGAAATTAGAAAGTAAGTGGCTACAAAAAATTATTTAATAAGACCACTAGGCAATATGTAAGGAACAAACTCCGAAGGTTTTTATTTTATATTTTTAATACTTCAAATTAATTTGCAAGTTCTTTTTTGATTTTTTCATTTTTGAACTTGCAAATTAAAAGTTTACAACAATTATAAAAAATAAGAAATAGTACATCACATATTTTGCATCATTTTTATAAGTTCTTCCATGTCAACATAAGGTTCTTGGTTTTCGGCATTGGTTGAATCGGAACCATAAACCATTATATCTCCAATTTCTTGGTCTTCCTCTTCGTCTACCTCGGCACGCCCTTGATTTCGCCGTTCTGATCTTATCCAATCTCTAAAGCACACTAGAATTTCCAAAGCGTTGCTGCTCAATGAATGATGAGTATCTACTAGTTGCTGCCTTGCTTGGCTAAATGCGCTCTCTGATGCGACTGTTGAAATCGGCACATTTAGCATGTCTCGAGCCATGGCCGAAAGAACAAGAAATTGATTTGAGTTGCTCTTCCACCAACCCAGCGGTAGAAAATCTTTTGTGAGAAGCTCTGGTGACTTTTGCAAGTAGAATTGGAGTTCATCAATATTCTTGCTACTGGTTTGTTGATGCTCTCCTAGTGAGGACCAAATCAAATAATCTTGAACACCATCGCCATTATCCAAAGTTGTTCCAGATGTTGAAGTATTACTTGAAGGAATATTTGCATCTACAACCGAAGAAGCATCAATAATGTTAGCATAATAATTATATAAAGTTTGTAAATGTTTGTGTAGATTAGAAATACAAGTGTCAATATCAGGAGTTTCAGTTGGTTCAATATCCATATAAGTATATAAAGCTCTGATTAATTGGCGGCACTTTATCATTTTGACAGTAGGGTTTAAAATAGCACCAATTAGGTAAATATGGGGAATTGGGTAGAAATATTTTTTAAACTTATCTAGCATAGATTTAACAACAGAAGTATATTCTTCTTTTTTCTTTAAATTATGTAGTAAAAGAGAAATTTCAGCAATATGAACTAAACCATTTGCAATAGTAGGATAATAAGCTCTAGAAAACTCAAGTGTAGCCACATAAAATTTTTGTAAAAATTATACAACATCATGAATAACATCCCAAGTTCTAGATGTTAACAAACGGCTAGGATCGGTACAATTAGAATTAGCAACTTCAGTTATAGGTATTCTATATTTATAACAACATCTTAAGAATAAATAAGTATAATTCCACCTAGTAACTATTTCTTCAAGCATGAGTCTTGATTTTAGTCCATAGTGTACACATTTTTTCTTAAATGCATTTAATCTAGCACTTCTATTATTTCCTTGAATTACACCAACATCTCTCCTAACTAAAGTGATTTCATCTCTAAATAATTCAAGGCCACTCTTCACAATCAAGTTATAAATATGACATGCACATCTAACATGAAATATTTCAGGAAGTGGTGGGTGTAGATGCAATTTTAATATTGTATAGCAGCATTGTTGTTAGAAGCATTATCAAATGACATACATAAAACTTTTTCTGCAAGATTATAAAATATAGCAACTTCATGGATGCACCAGTATGACTTTGATCTTCATCATATCTAAAAGCAATGATACGTTTTTGCGTACAAAAATTATCATCTATCCAATGGCATGTAACAATCAAATAATCATTTCCATTTACGGCACGACCAATATCAGAAGTAAGAGAAACTTTACAAGGAAGACTTGCGAACAAATAACGTATATATGTATGATATTGTCCAAAAAGCCAAAAGATATCATCTCTACAAGTACTTCTAGGAATACCTTTAAATATAGGGTTATAAATTCTTCGAATATAAGTAACAAGATACAGTGAAGAAGCAAAACTAAAAGTTAAACAACCTAAAATAATTATTTTAGCTAATTCTTCCCGATCATTCTTAATATCGTATTTACCAAATAACCCCCTAGTACTCGGGTTAAGTTTTTGTTGCCCAAATTCCTCATCTACTCCCCAATCAAGAGTGTGTCTCTCTTCTATATGCCTACTGTCACGACCCAAATTTCACTAAGGGTCGTGATGGCACCGGATACCGCTGTCAGGCAAGCCAACCAAAATACTTAATTAAACTCTCGTTTAAATAATTTTGAAAACTATGATTTTTCCTTCAATTTTACCAGTAAAAGATAATCGTTTCAAATCAAATATGAATGTTAAGAAGTTAATATAAGATACCCCATAATCATCCCAGAACCCGGTGTCACAAGTGCATGAACATTTACTAGAGAATGTGATAAAATGCAGTAATTGTCTGGAATACAAGTGAACAGAAATGAAAAACGCAGTAAAATACTCTGAAGGGGACTCTGCTGGATGCAGGTCATCTCAATAAATACAGCTCACCTAAGTCTACGTATCAACCATACCGCTATGCCACTAAGCCACTAGCCACACTTGAACCTGTGCAACAAAAACGCATAGCAAGTGTAGTATGAGTACGAAAACAACGTTTACCCAATGAGTATCCCGTCTAATCTCGAAGAAGTAGAGACGAGAGGTCGACTTCGACACTTACTAATGGTCCAATGATAATATAGAAAAAAGTGTAAGGAATTCATGGATTTCATAAAGCAAAATTTAACTCATAAAGACGGAAAGCAGGTAAACAACTTCTCAAATAATAAAGGATTTCCAAAGGTTTACTTTTCACTATCTTTATCAATTTATCTCTGGCCAGGAAAGGGCAATTATCAACATTTAAAATTCTCAAGCAAGCAATACAAGCATGCGCATATCATGCCGAGGTCGTACGGCCCGATCCAATAATATTTAAACTGTGCACTGCCAGAGGGTCGAATGGCACGAACCATAGATGCATCTATTTAATCTACCGAGGCGTTCGGCCCGTGCCGAAATTAAACGCATACAGACAGTCAATCAATAAGTCAACATGGAATAATTATCCAAAGAAAGGCCAATTCTCTTTTTACAATTTTATAAAATAAAGTTTAATCCTTTTAGAAATCCATTTACTAATTCGATAGGATTTAAGCAATTCAACTGCCAACAAGATTACAGATATTCCAAGTATAGCATGCTTTTGGGTCCTAGACTACCCGGACTTACACATAATAGTAGTTACGCACGGACTCTCGTCACCTCGTACGTACGTAGCCCCCACAAATAGGAGCATATGACCAATTATATCACCTATGGGGACAATTCTCTCTTACAAGGTTAGAAAGGAGACTCACCTCGCTCCGAAGATCCATAACCGACATTCCACGCCCTTCCAAAGACTCGATTCGATGCTAAATTCTCCAAAACTAGCCAATAATTATGCAAATCCATTAATATATGTTCAATTACTCATTACAATCTAATTTATAACAATTCCTAACCCCGATTAAAAAGTTGAAAAAATTGCCCTCGGGCCCACATGCCCGGATTTCAAAATTTCTCGAAGATAAAGTTTACCCATGAACTCACGAACTCAAATATATGATTTTCTCCTAATTTCATACCCAAAATCGTGGTCAAAATCCAAGAATATCAATTTTCTAGGTTTTCCCTCAACCTCAAGTTTCTACCAATTTTCATGCTCAAATCCTAACAAAACCATGTATTTAACTCACATGGGGTGAAATTAACTTACCTCATGTTTGATGATGAAATCCTTCTCTTGAAGCTCTCCAAAAATCACCCAAATAAGAGTGAAATGGAGGAAATGGCCAAGACCCCCGATTTTTAAAGAACCTTACTGCTTCCAGCAATTCCGCACCTGCGGTCACACGACTGCTTCTGCGGTTCCGCAAGTGCGGCCCCTCTACCGCTCCTGCGGTTTCTCTCCAGGCTCCCCTTTCCGCTTCTGCGCCTCGACTCCCGCAGGTGCAGTCCCACTTCTACGGCGAGATGACCGCATCTGCGGTCCTTACACTTCCAGCACAAATCGCATCTGCGGTCTTACACTTCCAGCCCAAATCGCATCTACGGCTCTCCTGGACGCTTCTGCGGCTCCGCACCTGCGGCCCAAG